AGTCTCCGTATCCCTCAGTTAGACCCACACTCGGAGCACCGTGCACACTTCCAGTCTCCATATCCCTCAGTTAGACCCACACTCGGAGTGTTGTGCACAGTTCCAGTCTCCGTATCCCTCAGTTAGACCCACACTCGGAGCACCGTGCACAGTTCCGGTCTCCGTATCCCTCAGTTAGACCCACACTCGGAGTGTTGTGCATTTCCAGTCTCCGTGCATCAGAAGTTTCTCTTTGCTTGTACTTGCCGTTTGGAAATAAATGCTTTGCAATCTCTTACCAAACTCAATCTCCATGAATTAACCTTGTGCCCTGACTGATGTTTTCTGTAAAGATGTGTCTGAGTTGATAAAGATATCAGATCCGGGTGAGGTGCTGGAGAATGTGGAGGTGAGCCTGAACTGCTCAGTGAGTTTCCTCTGTCCCGGTTTGCTGAAGTGGTTTGACACTGAGGGACTGAACATTTCATCATCAACCGCAAGCTCTCGGCCAGAAATCAGTAAACCAGCGAGCAGCACCATCCTGAAATTTACGCCGTCTTACCGGGACAACGGGAGGACTCTGAGCTGTGGATTTAAAACAGCGAGCGGTGAAATTCACAATGCTACCACCACATTAAACGTGCTGTGTGAGTACGCAGTGATTTATCCCATTACCTATTGGCTAGGAGATACTAAGAACTGCAGATGCTGGAGTCTGAGATAACAAGGTGTAGAGCTGGATGAACACAGCAGGCCAGGCAGCACCAGAGGAGCAGGAAGGCTAACGTTTTGGGTCGGGACCCTTCTTCAGAAATGGGGGAGGGGAAGGGGGCTCTGAAATAAATAGGGAGGATAGATGGGCTGGGGAAGATAGGTGGGATGGTGATAGGTGAGTGCAGGTAGGGAGTGGTGGGGATTGGTCAGTGAGGTGGGAGGAGCGGATAGGTGGGAGAGAAGATGGACAGGTTGTGTTAGGCCAAGGAGGCGGGGGTGAGAGGGAGGGTTGGTGATGGGATGAGCGCGGGGGGTGGGGAGATTTTGAAACTGGTAAAATCCATGTTTAGGCCATTGGGCTGTAGGCTCCCGAGGCGGAATCTGAGGTCCTGCTCCTCACACTGGAGGAAGCCCAGGATGGACATGTCGTCCAGGGAGTGGGAGAGGGAGTTGAGGTGGTTCACGACCGAAAGGTGTTGTCGTTTGTCGCTAACAGAGCGCGGGTGCTCGGAATCCGTTACTGTAGTCTACTGCATCTGCTGCTCCCGATGTGGCCTCCTCTACATCGGTGAGACCAAGCGCAGATTTGGAGACTGTTTTGTAGAGCACCTACGTTCTGTTTGTGACAAACGACAACACCTTCTGGTTTCGAGCCATTTTAACTCCCCCTCCCACTCCCTGGGTGACATGTCCATCCTGGGCCTCCTCCAGTGTCACAATGACACCACTCACAAACTAGAGGAGTGGCACTTCATATTTCACCTTGGAAACCTACAGCCCAATGGCCTGAGTATGGAATTCATCAGTTGTAAAATCTCCCCACCCTCAACCTCATCCCATGACCAACCCTCCCTCTCATCCTCGCCTCCTTGACCTGACACAACCTGTCCATCTTCTCTCCCACCTATCCACCCCTCCCACCTCACTGACCAATCCCCCCCACTCCCTTCCTGCACCCACCTATCAACATCCCACCTACATTCCCCAGCCCCACCCTCCTCTCTCTATTTATTTCAGAGCCCCCTTCCCCCTCTTCCATTTCTGAAGAAGGGTCCCGACCCGAAACGTCAACTTTCCTGCTCCTCTGATGCTGCCTGGCCTGCTGTGTTCATCCAGCTCCACACTGTGTTACCCACTGCCTTGGGATGTTCAGAGTGAGCACTGACCCATCCCGCTCACTCAACCACAAGATCCAGTCAGGGACATGAGGAGGACACTCAGCCCATCGATCCCAGGCTGGCCCTCTGTTGATCAGTCATATTCCCCAGATTGTACTCTAGGGGGGGAGAAATTCCTCATTTAAATTCACATTTATCTCTCTCTAAATACTCTGTGAGCAAAGGAGAACCTTTGTTCTTAATTATCAGAAATCACCTCCATTCCACAGCGTTCTTGCTATTGTCTCTGGACAGAACAGCCCAGTCCATTTAATTCCCACCCTCACAAACATTATCACCAACATAGTACAGATTATTCGGTAGTAGGCCATTCAACATTTTGAACTATCTCTCTGATCATAGAGCCTACTGTCATTCACTCTAATGTTATGATTAAAGCTCAGGCAGTGCCGCAATGTAGGAGGTCAGTGCTGAGGGAGCGCCGCAATGTAGGAGGGTCAGTGCTGAGGGAGTGCCGCACTGTCGGAGGGTCAGTGCTGAGGGAGCGCCGCACTGTCGGAGGGTCAGTGCTGAGGGAGCGCCGCACTGTCGGAGGGTCAGTGCTGAGGGAGCGCCGCACTGTCGCAGGGTCAGTGCTGAGGGAGTGGGCACTGTCGGAGGGTCAGTGCTGAGGGAGTGCCGCACTGTCGGAGGGTCAGTGCTGAGGGAGTGCCGCACTGTCGGAGGGTCAGCGCTGAGGGAGTGCCGCACTGTCGGAGGGTCAGCGCTGAGGGAGCGCCGCACTGTCGGAGGGTCAGCGCTGAGGGAGCGCCGCACTGTCGGAGGGTCAGTGCTGAGGGAGC